ATCGGTAGTAAGTATTAAAGTCAGGTAGTGGCAATCCTCTTTGTTTTTTTGTTTTTTAAGCTGAGCCATCCTGCCACCGGTTGGCAGCTCAGTGGCTGCTCAGCTCGGGCCGGGAATCGAACTGCTGTTGCTCAGAGCTCAAACTCTTGAGCGAGCTGTTAACCAACTGAGCCACTTGGCCGGCCCTCTAACTTTGTTCTTTTTCTTCAATATTGAGTTGGCTATTTCTCAGTCTTTTGCCTCTCCATATAAACTCTAATCAGTTTATTGCTATTTACAAAATAACATGCTAGGATTTTTATTGAGATTCAATTGAATCTATAGATGAAGTTAATAAGAACTGACTTTTTTTTTTTTAAGATTTTTATTGGGGATTTGGGGGAGGGGAACAGTGCTGGGGAATTGGGGGAAGGGGAACAGACAAGTTGCTGTCGTTTTGTTCTTTGGTCTAGTTATGGAGGACGTTGCTTCACTGGCCCAAGTTGGTATTATCATTGCGCTCTTCCCGGGTGAGGCAGATCCGTCACCAGCCCCTGGATTGCCGCTCACGATGGCTGCCAGCCACTCACGGTAGCTTACGGGAGCCCACTGCAGCAGGGGCTGCAGCCTACACTGCAGCCGGCGACTCACGGCAGCCCAGCTCCAGGTTGAGCTCTTGTTCACCAGCTTAGCTGTGGAGGATGCAGCGTCACTGGCCCTAATATGGGATCCGAACCGGGGCCCTACTGCTCAGAGCTGGCGTCCCAAGCCAACTCTTAAACAACATGCCACTCAGCCAGCCCAGTAACTGACTTTTATAAATTGTCCTTGCATCCTACAATCTTGCTGTTACCACTTATTAGTTCCATGAGTTTATCAATTCTTTTGGATTTTTTTTCTACATAGAAGATTATGATACCTGAGAACAAAAATCGTTTTATTTCTTCTTTCCCAATCTGTATACCTCTTCTTTCTTTTTATTGTCTCATTACATTAGCAAGGCCTTCCCGTACAATATTGAAAAATGGTGAGATGGGACATCTTTGATTTATTCCTGATCTTAGTGGGAAAGTTTCAAGTTTCTTAGCATTAAGTATGATATTAGCTATAGGTTTTTTTTTAAAGATTTTTATTGGGGAATTGGGGGAAGGGAAACAGACAAGTCGCTGTCTTTTTGTTCTTCAGTCTAGTTGTGGAGGACGTTGCTTCACTGGCCCAAGTTGGCACCATCATTGCGCTCTTCTCTGGCGAGGCAGATCAGTCGCCGGCTTCTGGACGGCCGCTCACTGCGGCTGCTGGCCGCTCACGCTGGCTGCTAGCTACACACAGTAACCCATGGCAACCCACTGCAGCAGGGGCTGCAGCCTATGCCGTCGCTGGCGACTCACGGCAACCCAGCTCCAGGTTGAGTTGTTGTTCAGCATCTTAGCTGTAGAGGGCAGTGTCACTGGCCCTCATATGTGGGTTCCAAACTGGGGCCCCCTGACGTCCCAAGCCAGTTCTTAACCAATGCGCTACTCGCCGGCCCGGCTATAGGTTTTTTGTAGATGATCTTTATCAAGTTGAGTAAGTTCCCCTCCCTCTTCCTAGTTTGCTGAGAGATGTTGTTGTTTTAACGATGAATGAGGATTGGATTTTGTCAGATGCTTTTTCTGCATCTATTGATATGATCATGTGATTTTTCTTTTTTAGCCTATTTATGTCATGGATTACTTTAATTGATTTTCAAATGTTGAACCAGCCTTGCATACCTGGGATAAATTCCTCTTGGTTGTAGTGTATAATTCTTTTTATGCATTGTTAGATTCAATTCGCTAATATTTTGTTGAAGATTTTTGCATCTATGTTCAATGAGAGCTATTGGTCTGTAGTTTTCTTGTAATGTCTTTGGTTCATTTTAGGGTATTAGGATAATGCTGGCCTCATAGAATGAATTACAAAGTATTCTGTGTGCTTCTATCTTCTGTAGAGAATTGGTATAATTTCTTCCTTAAATGTTTAGTAGAACACACCAGTAAACCCAACTGGGCCTGTGCTTTCTGATTTTGAAGGTTATTAATTATTGATTAAGTTTATTTAATAGACATAGGTCTATTCAGATTGTCTATTCATAGAACTTTTATAACAAAACATTTAAAATTTAAAAAGTGTTGGTTCTCCCCTAATTAATCTATAAATCTAACAGATTCCAAACAAAATTCCAATGGCTCCCAATAAAGAATGATATTATGTCCACAACAGTGGAATATATTAAAATTATAAACAGATATCAGTGTTTAACTCCAAAATTCCACTGTAAGAAACTTGTCCTACAAACACATTTTTATGACCATGCAAGAGAGTTCATCACATCATAGTCTGAAATACAAAAGAAAAATTAATTCAGTAAGAGACTGGTTAAATAGTGATTTTTAAAAACTATTAGATAAGATGAAGCTGATAAAACATTTATTGACTGAATACTCACTATGTGCCAGGAGCCATGTTATGCACTGGGAATACTACTGTGAGTAAAATGGACACCAGTTTGAAAGAGACACTAATGTTTTTTTAAATGCTGAAAATATATTAAGTGGTTAAAAAAGTTAGTATAACTCAATTAGGAAAAAAATTAGGCATTAATGTATTTTGTGTACACACACAGCAAACTTCCGGAACAATACACAAAACCTGCTTGTTATCTCTGGAGAGTGGGAATGGACAGGGGTGAGTTCTTATTGATGGCCTGAATTATTTTCTCTGTTTATAATTTTAAAATAATTTTTATAATTTAAAATGGGGTAATTTTATTTTTCAAATTATATGATTGTATACCTTAAAAGAAAAACCAGAGAACCTATTGGGGGGCACAGGGTTTCCTTTTGGAGTGAAGAAAATGTTCTAAAATTAGTGGTGATGGCTGCACAGCTCAGGGAATTTTATGGGTGAATTTTATGTATGGTATGAAATTATATCTTAATATAGCCAAGTCTCTCAATGCCTCTGAAGTCACACATGGGTTATCCTACTACCCTTATCTAATTTGCAAGGAAGATAAAAAGGAGAAAAGCTTGGATTCTTTTAGAAAACTGGAGTAAAAATATATGGGGAAGCAAGATTTAAACTGGGTACTACTCTCTGCAACTTGCCTTCATTTCTCCTCAACCCAAAAGGCTCAAGATCAAAATGCTTTGGTTGGATGGTTGTGAGGAAGCGAGTAGTTTGAGAGTTCACACACTCAGGTGTGCAAAGGGCCACAACAGACACACAGACTGGGACATGGATGACATTTGAGCTCTTGATGAAGGAAGCTGGACTAGGATAAGGGAAAAGGGACAACACTGGGCACGAAAGGAAGCAGGCAGGGAGGACCAAGTTCAAGAGGGACTGAGAGACGGGGCAGTGGAACCAGGAGGAACCAGGAGCAAAGGCAGCTGTGAGTTATTCTGCAGCATTTTCTCCTTCCACCTTTTCCCTCTCTCTACTCTTTTCTTTGATGATCTCAGTCACTCTTAGGCCTCTGATTTCTACTTCGATAATTACCAAATCTCTCCGAGTCCTGACTTTTCTCTGGAGACCAATGTCTCTGGGCTGGCCATGTACGTACTTTTCCCACTAGCACTTTAAATCCCGTAGGTCCACACTGAATTCAGCATCTCCTCCACCCCAAGCCTGCGACGACTCTTGTACTCGCTGACACTTACCAAACATCCACCTGAACTGCTCTCTCCCCCCCATTCCTTCATTCTTTCACCCAACAAATGTTTATTGTGGCTCTACTATGTCTCGCCCACGGCCACAGCGCTAGGTACTTCCATTCACACACCAAGTTGCATCACTTCTACCTTGAAAGTCTCTCCTGTCTGAGATTCATTGAGAACCTCTCTTGCTTGAACCATGGCAACAAACGCACTATATCTTAACTGCTTTTTGCATGCGCTATACCTGGGACACAGGAGGGGCTCACAGTGGAGGCTTAGGGACCAAACTGTCTGGGAAGGGGGTTGGAGGAGCAGAAGCCAGATTTGTCTTGAAGGAACGTTTGCATGTGAAGAAAGGCATTTTCCTTAAACGGTATGTTATAGATCCATAAAGTAAGCGTGATCATTCTTTTATTTCTGGGGTCTGGTTTTGGGAGGCTGGGAAGATTCCTGGGAAGACTGATACTGACCTCCCACCCCTTGAGAACTGAAGAGCCACTTGTTGAATGTGTCACCTTCTATGCGAGGGACCACGGATGTCGTGTTTCTCCCTTGTATCCCCAGCCTCTAAAACATCGGGCCCATTGTCGTGGTCCAATAAGTATCTGTGGAGGATTCTAGAAAGGCAGAGACCATGGATGTTTTATTTACCATCTCGGGAAGGACAAAGACCTGGAGCCCAAGGGATAAAGAACTAGTGCAAGATGTTTCCCTTCCTTCGGAGCTTGGTAAACGTTCGCTAAGCGATGTAAATCACCCTCCCGCACGGCTCCAAGATCGGGCCCCTCGCTCGGCTGCCAGGCCCTGGAGCGCGGCCACCATCTGGCCCAGGCCTGCAATTCCTGCCCTGCCCTGCCCAGCCTGGGCCCCTGTTACCTCCCTGCGCACATCTGCACCCACCACAAGCCAAGCAACTCCGCGCTCCCGCGTCCGGGCCTCCAGGGCGGGGGCTCCCCCCAGGACCCTCTGCCCCGCGGCTTCCCCGGCCCCCCCTAGGCCCCGGGGACGCCCGCGGCGCTGCCTGATACCGCCGCCTGCTGTGGGCTCCAGCGATCCCCACCCCCGGCGCGCCCGGCCTTCGCCCATGTGCTCCGCCGCGGCTCTCCAGCCTCGGCCCCCTCGGGCTGGAGCGCGGAGCTGGAGGCCTGTCGCCCCCGCGGGGGCCCGCCGCGCGCTTGCCCGCCAGAGCTGCGCGAAAGGCGGCGAAGCGGGAAGCGGCTGCTGCTGTGAGGCGCCCCCGGGCAGGCGGCGGGGAGCCGGGAGCGGCGGGCCGGGCCGAGGGTCGCACAGCTGCGCGGCCCGGGCGGAGGCGGCGCTGCGGCCGCGGCGGCTCTCACTCACCACAGTCCGCCGGGCCAGCGCGCCGGGGGTCCTGGACAGGGGCCGGCGGAGCCGCCGCGCCCGGCCCGAGCGGGTCCCCTCGGAGCTCTCGGAGCCGCTGTCGTCCGAGATCACGATGAAATCCTCCATGGCTGCGGTCCCGGCCGAGCCAGCGCGCGGGTGGCCGGCGACCCAGCGGCGACTGGGTTCCTGTTGCTGAGGCGGCGGCGGCGGAGGCGACACACCGGGCCATCACCCCGCATGCCCCGCCCCGAGCCCCGCCCCTTCCCGCCCCGAGCCCCGCCCCCAAGGCCGCGCGCCGCGGGCAGCTCTCGGCGGTTCAAGGCCGTGGTCACTGAGCTTGGTGGTGGCACTCGTCCTCCCTCCTGAAGAGACAAAAAAACGCGAGAAAACCAACTTGCAGCCGGTTTGGGCCGCTGTTGAGGGCGGGCATGCGAGGCGCTGCAGCTGCCAGGGCTTCCCCAGCTGCTGTCGAGTGACTCTTGTGAAGTGAGGTGTGAACAGGCCACACTGACTGATCCGGAAGGCGCTGAAGGGTGGGGGACCTGGCCTGGGAATGAGTGGGGGGGAGGGCGCCTGACTGACTGAAGGTGGGGGACCTGGCCTGGGAATGAGTTGGGGGGAGGGCCCCCGACTGACTGAAGGTGGGGGACCTGGCCTGGGAATGAGTTGGGTGGAGGGCGCCTGACTGACTGAAGGTGGGGGACCTGGCCTGGGAATGAGTTGAGGGGCAGGCCTGACCTCGGCCTGAGTCTGGGGAGAGGCCCCACTTCTTTGTGCGCATGTGCAAGTACATCTGTAGTGTAAATTCCTCAAAGTGGAATTATTGGGTCAAAGGAGATGTTTCAATAGATGATGCCAAATTATTCTCCTAAATTATACCAACTTGCAATTTCAGCAACAATCCATGTCACTCAGGGATTTAAACTGTGACACTGAGACTTGCTCAGTTGGTAGCAGGATCAGAAACGGAAAAAATGCACAGCGTAGCCAGGAGGTAGCAGATGCCGTGAATGATTAGATGTTATAAATGAGCATAGTTATCAAGATGGAAAAAGACATGCCCAGTAGAGGGAGAAGTGGTAGGTAGTTGATTGTGGGGCAGGAACATTAAAATCAAGATAAGATCTGTGTTACAATGAATTAACAAAAGCCTACCTCTCAGGCTCCAGCAACTTGGTAAAATAGATGAACAGATTCAAAGGAAAATGTGTTTATTAGAAAGGGGAGTGGTTCCTAAAGGATGGTTATCGGGTACTATCTAAGCATTGTCTAGTGCTGTGATCCCCAAACTTTAGTGAGTATAAGAATCACCCAGAAGTCTTGTTAAAACAGATTGCTGGGGGCCACCCGGAGCTTCTGAGTCAGTATGCATGCGGTGAGGCCCAAAATTTTGCATTTCTAACAAGTTCCAGGGGATGTCCATACTGCTATTCTGGGGACCACCAATTGAAAAAAACCACTGGTCTGGTGGACAGGGAGTCTATGGCCAACAGAGTTCAGAATGGCTGAAACCATCCTTGTAGTGAAGGGACTCAGACGTTGTCGTCACCAAATGCTATTCAACATTTAGTCTATTTAACTCCCTGTGTCTTGAAACACCGTGTTTTCTAGGCTTCTGTGAATCTGCACCACTCATAACACTTCTTTTCAGTCTCCTGAGCTGATTCCTGCTCCTCTCTCCACTCCTTAAACCTTGATGTTCCTCAGAGTCCTGGCATAGGCCACCTTCACACACTCCTCCTGACACAGTCTTAACTATCCCCACAGCCCTAATGACAATTTTTATGCTGATGACTTGTATGATTCTACTTATATGAGGTGCCTAGAATAAGCAAATTCATCAAGACAGAAAGCAGAATAGAGGTTATCAGGGATTGGAGGAAGGGAGAATAGGGAGTTATTTCATGAACAGTTTCCATTTAGGATGATGAAGAGTCTGGGAATGGGTCTTCGTGAAGGTTATACGAAATTGTGACTATTAATGCCATTGAACTGTACATGTAAAAATGCTTATAATGGTACACTTTATGTATATTTTACCACAATAGAGATATGTGAATATTTTTCTTTTACTAACAAATTGAAACATTATAGATCAGGTCAAAAGGCCCCTTGAACACACCTCCTCCATCCTGACCCCAATTTCCCCTCTTCAGGGCTTCCATATTTACTCCTCTAGAGCTTTTCTGTACATTTACTTGTATTCATATATGTACTGGTCAAAATGACATATGTTTTTAGCTATATCCAAAGAGCAAGTCTGATTTCATAAAGAGATTTGAAACCATCATTAGCAGTGAAAATGTTCCAAGCAATAAGGCTTCTGGCCTTATTAATGGGGATTTTTGGATGGACATACAACTTTAAAAGGGTTTTTCATTCATTTTTCTTTTTTTCATTATATGGCAGGATTGGTGCCTGCAGACCTGCTTTTATTTATGCTAAAGCTAGCCAGCTCAGGTTTCTCCCTGCACTAGGAAACACTGTCTCCTCTGCTAGATTCTAGGCACAATTTCACAATTTTGGGTCCCTCCTAGCTTTTCTGGATTGCTTTTGTAGGGAGCCTCTATATGTATATAACTTTATTTAAATCATTTTCTTATCCTTTCCCCCTTTTCCCTCCAAGCTTTTAGTTTGCTGAGATATCAAGTAGATGTCAAAGTTTTGGTAAAACACTTTTTTATCCTCTACGTTCAAAGATGATGCATCCTCATTTTGAGAAAATTAAAGCAATTCAGAATGGTTACAAAGCAGAGTGTATAACCACATCACACTTGGATAACCTCTTTCCAGACATCTCTGCATGGTCAAAACCCACACGTACAAATATGTACATAATTTTATGTAAGTGGGATCATACTGTGCTCATTGTATTGCAACCTGCTTTCTTAAATTAAAAACTATGACATCATAGTTTTCTGTGTCAGTGATTATAGGTTTACATTGTCTACATCATCCATTTTATTGGCTCATAATATTCTTAAAACAATATGACATTAGCTCTTCTTATTTTATAGAAAAGCACAAAGAAGCAAGCAAAAGAAATATCACATTTTCCTATCCCTGATTCCTACAATGAGCAGTTTGTAAAACTAAAAGAAACATATCTATGAGATTAGAAAAATTCATGCTACAAAAAGTTACAAAAAGATAAGAAATTTAGCCTTCCCAAGGCTAAATACCAAGTACCTAAATACCCAAATAGTTTCTTGTGAATCCTTCAAAACATACAAAATTACTATATTCCGTGTATACTTATTTCTATCTTTCTATCTCTTTTTTTGTCTTTAACATAAAAAAAGATCACGCTATACACAGTTATTTACTTATCTTTTTTCACTTAATATATCTTGAGGATTGTTCCTTAACTGCAAAATAACTATATCTTTCTAATTCCTGTATAAAAAAGTCATTTGTTAGGATATGCTGCAATTTATTTAGTCAGTTCCCCAAGATGGATACTTTGTTTCTAGGGTTTTGTTAGTTTGTTTGTTGTGTGCTTTTGATTTTGCCATTACCAATAATGCTACAAGAACCTCTTTGTATTAACCTTAACAGATCTTGTCAGCATATCCACAGAGAAATCCTTAAGCATTGGGAACTGGGTTAAAGGGTGTACATGTTTTATGTGTTGATAGAAATTACCAAATTGTCATCTACAAAGTTTGCACCAAATAACATTCCAACAAAAGTGTTGAGAGTGCTTGTTTCCCAAAATTCCACAAGCATTGGTTATCAAACTTTAGTTGTTGCCAATCAAAGAAATTGAAATTGGTATCTTGTTCTGATTTCCATTTATTATGGACAAAGTTGAGATAATTTTAAAATGCTCATTGGCTCTTTGTAGTTTTTTGTTCATACACTTTCACTATTTTTTTCTCCTAGGCTGTTCATCTTTTTCAATAGCTATTACTAGAATTTGTATAGCTAACACTCATTGAGCAAAGTATTACATGGAGAATTTATTCAACTAATTATGTAACAATGAACACTTAGGATGTTTACAATATTATACTGCTGTTTCAAGCATTCTTGTACTTACATTTTTGTACTGTGAACCAAATATCTCTGTAAGTTAAATTTCTAGAAATGGAATTGCTAATTTAAAGCTGAATTCTTTGTCACAATTTTCAAAATAGCATTGTGTAGTGAAGGAATGGTTTAAGGGGGAAAATGGGAGAGATGAAGAAAGAGGAACTAATAATTGTTCCTAACTGCAAGGCAAGTCAGCTCTAAGAGTTGAACTCAAGAAAGAGGAACTAATAGTTCTAAGTCACAGTTGAACTCTCAGGTTCATTGATGATGTTATTTATCATTTTGGCTGCTTTCATCAGTAAGCTGCTTAAAATTCTAAATCTCCTTCTCTATTTGGATGCCCATACCTCCTGGGAGTTTGAAAATTCTGTGGGGGAAAAAAAGGAAAACATAATAATTTTGTGATTTTCAAATGAGTACTAGTATTAAAAATAATTATAAAGCACATTCTGAATCATTTTATGGCCATGCAATTTTAATGGTGGCATTACATTTCAGTTTACATTTGTCTGAGTTGGTGCATACTGTTTGAAGGAACAGTTGGCATTATGTTAGTTTGTGAATTTAAATTGAATGGAGGGAAGCAGTGGGAGACTTGAGTCAGCTTACCTGTGGGACCTGTGGACTCTTGGACAAGCAGTGTTCAAAAGAACCTGTGCACAAAGCAATCCATTTGATTAGAAGAATGTAGGAAGAGATTTGGGGAGGATGACTTGCATAAATCTGTCTCTGTGCCTAACAGCTTATTCATTAGCAGTAAGTGGAGCAGAAAATAAAGAGTGATGAAGTTTTGCATTTCTGATTCAGGCCAAATTGCATTAATGACCACAATGCTAACCTCAGTTTTACAGGTGTCACCAGGTGACACTGCACTAAACTAGGCATTGTAAGATTGCTTGGGAGCAGTTTTGACCAAGTACTTTGCCTTGAGTCAGCAAAGCACTGGAGTTATTAACACCATTTTACACAACATAATTATCTGAACAGACATTTTCTGCATTAGTGTTATTGACAGACAAAGTGAAAATGACAAAAATTGGCTTGCTCAATTTATTCTAATATGCACTTATTCAATTATTGTGAATGTACACACACACACACACACACACACACACACAATTAATCTATTTTCCTTTTTTTCCAGTGTTACTTTCATGTGAAAAAAGTCCACCCCTTAAATCAAGTTTTACTTTGTCCCTGTTACTACATGCATAGTCAGTTTTACATATTTGCGGCAATGTTATGGCTAGAGATTTTTTGTAATTATAGTTGACATATAATATGATATTCGTTTCAAGAGTTTTGATTTCCACATTTTATTTAACATGTGCCATAAATATTTTCCCATTTTGCTAATCATTTTTGTTCTTATTTCCTCTTGTCTTACACACTCCCCCTTGACCACTATCATGTAACCAGTGTCGTTTGTGGAGATATGTAAGCCCACACATTTTCTTCCATCTTTATCTACAAAGATATACAAACCTGGGTACGCACACAGATAAATAAATATATACAATTTATATAAAAGATTGTGAATTTGTCATTTGTTTTTACAAAGGTGAGATCATAAACTACGTATAGTCCTCAGTTACTATATTTGTTCTTGCCTAGTTCATCAGGGCAACCCACCAGATCAGTAGCTAGAGATCCAACTTGATTTTTTAAAAGCAACGTAGTTTCCGTAATATCGATATACACATTTATTCCCCCTTCCTCCGTTTTCAAGATTTTTGTCATTACCAACAATGCCACCATACATACGCTTATAGATTCACCCTTAGATTATTAGGATTAGGATCACTACATCAAGGAATACGTTTTTTTTTTTTTTTAATGTATAAGGCCATGTTACTTGCTTTAAAAAGCTGTGTGTGGACCTCATTTGGATCTCAATTCAAACAAATTATAAAAAGAAGCATGACATTTATAAGACAATTAGAAATTTGAACGCTGACTAGATATTTCATTTAATTAAGGAATTTTTGTTATTTTTAAGATGTGATAATAGTAGAGACACATACTGAAAGATTTATGAATGAAATACTTTGCTTCAGAGAATATTCTTGGAATAACCCGGCACAGTCCAAATCCGGTGAGAAGCCCCTTTGAATCCTGTTGCTGAGGCCTCCACAGCTCCTCTGGGGAACTTGCCTTTCTCCCTTACTGCAGCAAGGTCCGTAAACCGAACTCTTTAAATACGGACATGTTCTTGGAGGCCTTTGGTTAGTGGACTTTAAAGCAATCTTTTCAAAGTCAATTGTCCATTTGGATTTCCTCTTCCTTGGGACATTTTTCCAGTTCATCGGGGAGTTCTGAAAATTTCTCTTTTGTCTGAGGTCAGTCCCATTGTTGCTTTCCCCATTCTTCTCTGGGAGCCATAAGTACTTCTTCTTAGAAGAGGTCAAAGTTAAGGAATCTCATTCAGGTTGGATCACCCTAGGTTCCATGGCATTAGCAAGAATTTTCAGGATCTTATCAGTTCACCTGGCTACTGGGTGGTGAGGTTGAAGGTAGGAACTGAACTAATTTCGACCTCTCCATTTGCTCCAGATAAATCTAGTTATTTTCTTGGGCACCTGTCTAGCTAGTTTGGCTGATGTTCATGACATGTGTGAGTGTGTGACTGTTTGTGTTTGGTGTGTGTGTGTGTGTGTGTGTGTGTGAGCGAGCGTGTGTGTGAGTGTGTGTGTGTGTGTGTGTGTGTGTAACATTTATTGCTCATCTCAGTAGGTATTAAGGAGAAAATTCATCATCTTCTGAGTTTTGTTATATTAGATATTTATATTAGATTTTGTTTTATATATTTAGAAGCTCTGATGTGAGACATATAAAAATTCAGTACTTCTTAATTGTTCTTTTATTGATATGAAATATCATTCTGTGTCCTTTTTAGTGCTTTTCATCTCGAATTCTCCTGTTTGTTACATTAATATTGTAATATACATAACACAATCTTTTGTTTGGTGTGCTGGGAAAATATTTTGATATTTAAACCCATGTGTTTTTACTCACTATGTAACCTTTTCTACATTCAGATGACTAGACTCTGAGTCATCCTTTGCCTTAGGGGAGATTGTCACAATGGAACCAGAATACAGGAGGCAAATTCTTGGTTTGGGAATGTCAGAGCTGAGGCTCGGGTGTAAGACATTCTGAGCCAGTTTCTTCACCCTCGGAGGAGAGAAGAACCAAGTCACGTTCTGTTTGCCCTGTTAGTTCCATTTCCTTAGGTGTTACTTCCCTGTTTTGTGATGTGTGGTGTTTCTCATTTCTGATGTTAGAGTTTTCCTCAGATATTTTGCTATTCGTGGGTTGGGTGTTTTCACTTAATTTTTGAATTTCCCTACTAGCCCACATGTGAGTGCTGGGTTGGTTTATGGCATCTTTTAACCAATAAATTCAGAAAAGTGACTTGCTGCTGGGTGGGTGGGGGGCGGTATATTAGTGTCTGGTCTTCTGGAACTGGGGACAACCACAATACATATTGTCTAGTAGTTTGCTTCTCTGGTTGAACCCTGACTGACACACACCTATATGTTGAGGCTTTGCCAGGGGTGATTTCTTTAGCACCCATAGCTTCTCCAAAGTCCCCCACCATCAAAGGACTTATACATCAAGCCCCCCTTCTTCCTTATCTACTCTTCCTTCACTGTAGGATGTCTCCCTCACCCCCTGAAAATTCTTTCTATGCATCCTGTTATCTCTGACATTATTATTTATGACCCGATTCTGCCGCAAGTGACCCTAAAGGTCCTAAGACTCCTGTATGTAAAAACATCCAGAGTTGCAGCAAACATCAGCTCCTGCAAGGCAGTAGGAGGGACTATAATGGGAGGGAAAATTAGGCACCAAACAGTCTCCTACCCCAAGATTTTAGTGACATCATTGGTATTCTGTGGAGTCTAAAAGGCTTTGAAGTCTCTAACAATTTCTGGGTGCAGTGGGATAGAGAAGGGAATTGGGAAAAGAAAAGGGGCTCATTTCCTAAGGCCCCTCGTGGAGCTATGCATGTGCTTTATATGTGGACTCATTTTATTATTTAGGACCTTATGACACTCTCCAGTGATGCTGGCGGAAATGTGATTATTAAAACCTCTTCACAGGTGTTTTGGTAATACGTGTTCATATAAAAAAGTGCATATGTGCACAATGAAGTTTGTATAGGGATATTCACTGCAGTATTGTTCTATAATACAAGCAAATTCATGGACACTAAATATCCATGAAGGGAACCAGTTGAATAATTAGTTGAATATGGATGTATAAATGATTATATATCCATATCATTAAAGACTACATTAAGAATGAGACACCTGCACATACTGATAAGAAATGATTTCTTACATGTATTTATCAGAAAGCAAGATATGTAAGGAATGCTACCATGTTGGGGTGGGGGGGCGGGGAAGGCTACACATACACTGATGTACCTCTCCCAAGGTGCTTATTTACACATACACTATCTCTGGAAGGCCACACAAATAATTTGACAATATTTTTCTCAAGGGGAATTTGGGGACACACGAGGGAGGTTAACTTACTTTTCGCTCTATTCCATTTTGTACTTTTTACACTTGTTACCAAGTGTATGCGTTACCTTAAAATTTTTGTTTTTTAAACTTTTTGAGATAATTGTAAATTCACAAAAGATTTGTTTTTAAACAAATTTCCACCCACCTCCTCACCACCCAAAATCTCCCCCAGCCCACAGCCCTTCTCCAGGGTTTTGGCTGTAGCTGATAGCTCACCACTGGTTTCTTCAGCTCGAAGCTGCTGGACCTGTGGTTTAACGTAGGGGTGTGAATAAGGACATTTACTTTTTTATTCTGTATTTGCTTATTTAAAAAAAACCTCCAGACCCCTTCTCAACACTCTGCTCCCGTCAACACCCCCCAGCCTTTTACGCGGGATAAGCTCACCAGCTGGCCCTTCTCCAGCAAGAAGTCAAGGGCTTTGTGTTCTAAGGGAGGGAGGGGGCTGAGGGGTGGGAAGCAACTTCTAGAAAAAGGTATTTTACTGATGGAGAACTGAGGTTTAGAAGGATAGCGTTTGTTTCCGTCTTCGATTAAACAGGGATACAAATATACCTACCAAACCATAGGTAAAGGGGAAACAGGGACCCTAAAAGCCTCAGAATCGTTAATTGTCAAACAAATTTAAAGCAGAATCATCACCGTTTCAAAAGGCAAAGGACGGAGCGCACTGCATGCCGGGATTGGAATTCCCTGTCCAGGTGGGCCCCAGTGCGGCTGCGCGGGAGAGCGGCGGCTCTTGGAGCGCATGCGTGCGGCGGCGGCGGCAGGACTGACTGCTCTGAGGCGGCGGCGTCCGTGCGGGCTCGGCATGGCGGTACCCGCGGCGGCTATGGGGCCCTCGGCGCTGGGCCAGAGCGGTCCCGGCTCCTTGGCCCCCTGGTGCTCAGTGAGCAGCACTCCGACGCGCTACGTGCTCGGGATGCAGGAGCTGTTCCGGGGCCACAGCAAGACGCGCGAGTTCCCGGCGCACAGCGCCAAGGTGCACTCGGTGGCCTGGAGCTGCGACGGGCGCCGCCTGGCCTCGGGGTCCTTCGACAAGACGGCCAGCGTCTTCTTGCTGGAGAAGGACCGGTTGGTGAGCTTTCAGGGCCCGGCCCAGGCCGGGGAGAAGGGCTGCGGTGAGGGGGGGCGGAGGGGGTGTGGTGCGAGAGCGAGGAATGTGGGGGTGTCGGCGTGAACGGGCTGGGGGGCAGGGGGGTGTGGCGGAGAGGAAGAGCGGGTGGCAAGGGGAAAGTGGGGATGCGGAGGGAGTGGGGTATGAATAGTAAGTGTAGCAGGAAGGAGGCGTGAAGGGGGGGTGAATGGGGCTGGGGTGAGGAGGGGGTGCGGGAGAGCGGTAGGAAGACAGTGCGGCGAGGAGCGGCCAGGGACTGTGGGCCTGGTGGGGCGCCTTTGACTAGGATAGGGCCTCCTGTGGGAGTGAGCAGGTGCGCTGGGAACCTTGGTAGCGGCGTCAGGGTGGAACGCAGAACGGAGGGAGGCCGGGGAGGGCCGAGGAGCGAGGGCCACGGTGCGAGCCCAGCCTCGGCCGATTGAGAGTGATTGGGGAGGGCGGGCGGCGGCTGGGGAGAGGTTTAGGGAAGAGGCTTGGAAGGACTGGGCTTTTTAACCTTCTCCCGAGTTTCGTTGGCCACAGGATGGTACCTTGGTTTGAATCAAGTTAAGAAGTTGCACGTGGAGGCAGGTACATATGCGTGAAGTGACATCCGGATTCTGTTCTTTCAGGTCAAAGAAAACAATTATCGGGGGCACGGGGATAGTGTGGACCAGCTCTGTTGGCACCCAAGTAATCCCGACCTGTTCGTCACTGCCTCTGGAGACAAAACCATTCGCATCTGGGACGTGAGGACGACCAAATGCATTGCTACTGTGAACACGAAAGGTGACTTCAGAGAGAGGGCGATGGGGAGATAAGCTCACTTAAGAGTATTCAACAAACATTTTCCAAATATCTTTTCTGTGCCTGGCCTTGTGCTAGTTATGGGACACCCTGAGCTGAAAAGACCTCACAGTTTAATGCAGCGAGAGAGACATATACATTAAAAAAAAAAAAAAAAGGCAACTAACATAATATGACATGGTTCGTTTTATAATGGAGATGTCCACATGGTGGATACCCAGAATGGAAACGCTTAAGTCAGCCTGGGGGACAGGGAAGGCCTCACAGAATTTGAGCAAACTCTTAGGTAGCCATAGGAATTTGGTGGTCGAGGTATGGTGGGAGATGTATGCTTGGATGGTCCTGGTGGTCTGGGAGAAAATGACCTGAAAGTTGTGCATGACATTTATAGACTGTCCTTCACCAGGCATTGTCTTGAGGTCATTTATTATATTTTATTGACTAAGATGTCATTGATTATAAGATGCACCAATATTTTAAGTGCCGTTAAGAAAGAAAATAAAGCTTCCAGATAACCATGTACACCACAAATTCTGAGATGCATTTGATGCATTTTAAGATGCATCATAGATAATAAAATGTGAAAACATATGCATCTTAGAATTGGATAAGTTGATGAAATTTTTACTGGATGTGTTCAGTGTGGGTCACTGGACTTTGTTGACAAGACTTGTACCTGTAGGTGGAACGATGCAGTGCTTTCCCCACGTATACAATGGATCATGCATGAATGACTTAGGTGGTACGTGGATGAACATTAAAGAACGGTTATGTGTATGTTTTCATGTCTGTTAGAAGAAAAGAACCAGCTTATAGAATTTATTGCTAAATTAAAGCTAAATTTACTTAAGTAAAACAGTGTTGGAGCCAATTTTAAGAAAACATCAATAAAGAAAAATATAGCTGTTACATGGCTAGGATAAAAATTGTGAAAGTGGCATGCGAATGACTGGAGTTTGGGAAATGCTGGTGTAAGAGAATAAATTTACGTTTAGATCTTGACTCTGTTACTTAATAGCTTTTTGACAGTTTGTCCCCTTTTTCTTGTCTTCCGTTTCTTCATCTGTAAAATGGGAATAATAAAGTGATAATAATACAGTACTGTGAGGACCAAATGGGGAAAATTGCAGACAGATGTGCTGGACTCATGGTTGGTCCTTAGGTGGGAGTTGCCTTCCGTTTTCTAGGACCTTAATGAATGAGCTCTGGAGAGAACTCTGGTCTTCCTTCGAGGATAACAAACTCCTGGAGGATTATGGGCAGATTATTTTACTGATTATATCTGGTTTCCTAGGGGAGAACATTAATATCTGCTGGAGTCCCGATGGGCAGACCATTGCCGTAGGCAACAAGGATGATGTGGTGACCTTTATTGATGCCAAGACACACCGTTCCAAAGCGGAGGAACAGTTCAAATTTGAGGTCAATGAAATCTCCTGGAACAATGACAATAACATGTTTTTTCTGACAAATGGCAACGGCTGTATCAACATCCTCAGGTGAGGGGGTCCTAGCTTAGGGGACTGTCATATCTTTAACAGTTGGGTGCTCTGGTGGATACAGGATGAATTAGATGTGCCTGTCCTGAAGGAGCTTAAAGGACAAATGGTAATAAAGGATCCTGACCTCTGCTGAGTGCCTTTGAGTCAGGCACCTTATATTTTGCTGGGTCCCCAAAGAAATTCTAAAGGATTGAGGGTGTGCTTCTCATTTGATAGATAAGGATCTGGGATTTGGGGAGGTTAAGGCACTAGTCAGCTGGTGAGCACTAGAACTGGATGCACCTTGAATTATGGCTAACTTATACCCTTAAAGTCTCAGCTTAAATATTCCCTCTAGGGAAGCTTCCTCCGGCCGTGCCCCTCCCGCCGCCCCACAAGGTTAGAGGTTTATGTACTTCCTTTGGGGAGCATTTATCATTTTATATTGTAATCGCATGTTTACTTGTCTATATCTTCCATTGGACTTAAAATCAATGAGGATAGGGACTGTGTTTAACTTGTTTACTGTTGAATCCCTAGTGCCTAGCCCAGTACCTGCTTCACATAGTAAGCATTTCATTAAATATTTGCTCTCTCAATGATTGAAATTGTGGAATTGAAATTCAGGTCTTTCACGTTCTGTCCTTTCTATCCTTGCGTGCGCAATGCAAGGCAGAGAAGTAGGTTTTATGTTAGAGAGGCTGGGAATTTGCTGTGGAATCCCAAGGAAAACTCATTGACCATGGGCGATGAGGGTTGAAAGAGGCAGCTTCTGCGTTTGACCTTGAAATATAAGTAGACTTTTAAGAATTAGAAAAAGAGAACTGCACAATTGACAAAACAGGTGTGAATGAGCATGATTTATTTGGAGAGCAGTTTGTAGATCAGGGTTGCTGGTAGTGGTGGCAATTAAGGTGTCTGAAGAGAGGGTCTGAAAATGGGAAGATAGAGTTGAAATATAACTTGGGACTAGCTTATGAAAGGCCTGGAATTCTATGCTTAGCAACTTGAATTTTATTCTCTAGGCAGTGGGGATTCTATACCTTCCTTTTAAAGCCTTTTTAACTACAAAATAAAACACAGATGTAGAAAACTACGTAAAGCAAATGTATAGCTTAAAAAGCAATTATATGCATAACACCTGTGTAACCCCACTCAAGAACGATGTATTTGCTGGCTACCCCAGAAGTCAGTCCATAGGCTCTATCCTAATCATAACTCCCTCCCCTCAAAAGTAAGTACTATCTTGAATTTTATAGTTTTAGCTACCAGGTATGCATCTCTAGATACTCTAGTTCTTCTGCCCGTTAAAAAAAATTTTATGTCTTTTTTTTTTTTTTTTTGAGATTTTATTGGGGAGTTGGGGGAGGGAACGGCATTGGGGAATCAGGGAAGGGGAACAAACAGATTGCTGTTTTGTTCTTCAGTCTAGTTGTGGAGGACGTCGCTTCACTGGCCCATGTTGGTATTGTGATCGTTGTGCGTCTCCCAGCTGAGGCAGATCGGTCACCGGCCATTGAATGGCCACTCACGGTAGCTTTACGGCAGCCCACTGCAGCCCCAATGCAGCCTACACTGTTGCCGGCGACTCACAGCAGCCCAGCTCCAGGTTGAGCTATTGATCACCATTTTAGCTGTAGAGGGCGCAGTGTCACTGGCTCATGTGGGATCTGAACCGGTGGCCCTGCTGCTCAGAGCTCGTGCTCCCAAGTCAACTCAAGCAATGAGCTACTCGGCCGGCCCTATATGTCTTTTAAGTCTGTTAAATTATAGGGTCCCCTTCCATCTCTTTCTTTTACTTATAACTTAGCTTTTGAAAAACCAGACTATTAGCTTGTAGAGATTCTTCCACTCTGGATGTTGCTGATTTCATATGCTTATTTATTTGTCAGAATGTAAGAGGCACTTCTCTCGTCTGCTGCTTGGTTACCCAGGAATACAGTTCATTTAGGAAAGGCAGGACAAATGCTTGATTCTTTCCTTTTGTCATCAGTGAATTAGTTCCCTATCACCTTCAAAGATGACCAGCTAGGAAACATCATTATGGACTCATGTATTTAAGCATGGTAGATGTCTTTCAATCTATTCTAATTATTATCCTTATTGAAGCTCAAATTATCCCATCATTGGCCAATGGAAGTCTCTTCAAATGGATTCCTGAGTCTTTTTTGTTTGGCATAATCCTAGTATTTAGTTTCTTGCTCTCTGATATGACAACATGTTTCAACTTCACCTTGTACATTTCCTGCCCCAGGCCTTTGATCATAAAATTCTCTGTTAATCCCTGGGCTTTTTTTACTGGGAAATAATAGTGGAGCTAGGAATGTCCATATTGCTGGGTTGGTCCTTGTTTCTAGACCTTTCTAGTGAACAGCTAGGAAATATATGTATGTATTTTTAAAGATAAAATACCTTGTGAATTTATGCTGATAACTTCCAATTAAAATTCAGGACTACAGAAATTTTATTAAACCTCTTAATTTTACAGATATATCTCTTTCCTTCCTAACCGAGTATTCTGGATCTCAGAGATGCAGTGGAATTAGAATGTCCCATGGTTACTCATGCCATGTGACACATACAGTTAAAACCACCACTACCACCACCACCACCACCAGTGTAATTACTCAAATTAAAACAGGAAATTTTGCTTTTTGCATGTGCTTTCCTCATCCTGCCTTCATTTCAAAAAATAGTTAATACTATATATTGTCAGAGTATACAGCCATTCCATATTATACTTTTCCTTTTAACCATATGTAGTTTCTATAAGAAGCTTTGTAATGCTCACTTACTAGCCCGATGGTGATAAGTCTCTAGTCAGTTTCTTGTCAAAGTTCATTCTCTAGATTCCTCAGGAAGGGTTCATGGGAACAGTATTCCCTGAGTTCGTACTTATTATAACTTATATACTTATTAAAGTTATAGATGCTTTATTATATTGTGCTTACTATTTGAGCTCTATAATTGATAATTTTGCTAGAATAAAAATCCTCGATTTATATTTTCTTGCTCATGTATCTTAAATATGTTAATTCCATTTTCTTTTGGCATGAAGTGTTACTATCAGAAAGTCTAATGATAATCTAATATTCTTTTTCTTTAAATCTAGTAATTTTATTACTGTATGTCCTCATGTCTGGCTTCATATTCTCAGGCGTGTGGTGTGCTGTTTCAATATGTTGCTTGAAATCTTTATTTCAGGAAAGTTTTCTTGAATTACAGTCTTTGGTATTCTGTTTTACTTTGGTTTTTTTTCAGTGTCTCCTATTATCGTCTTAGCACCACAGTCCTCTTCCCACAGTTTCATTGCTGTCTGTCTTGCTTTTCAGCTACCCAGAGCTCAAGCCCGTACAGTCCATCAATGCCCATCCTTCTAACTGCATCTGTATCAAGTTTGACCCCATGGGGAAGTACTTTGCCACAGGAAGTGCGGATGCTTTGGTCAGCCTCTGGGATGTGGATGAATTAGTGTGTGTTCGGTGCTTTTCCAGGTAAGCGACTGCCAGCACTTTCCTTATTGGAAAGTTAATTTTCATTTTGGGTGAAATTGTGCCCTCTTACTGGGTTACTATAATGTCTCCTCTGTCTAATCTGTGTTACAGGCTGGATTGGCCTGTGAGGACCCTCAGTTTTAGCCATGATGGGAAAATGCTGGCATCAGCATCGGAAGATCATTTTATTGACATTGCTGAAGTAGAGACAGGTAACTAAAATCCTCCCTACCTTAATCTTCTGTCTTTCATCTCTGGCCGTCGGGACTTCTCTTGTCATGTGTTTTCATCTCTGTACCTTACTAATTCACCAGCATTAGTATAAATGAATTTATCTCCTTAATAAACAGGTAATGAGGGAGCAAAGAGTTAGGAAACATGGGCAGGTCTGAAGGAAAGTGACGTAGGAAAATATGTTGCATTTTATTAACTTTTAATTCTTTCATTATAATGGAAAATTTAAAATATAGAAAATACAAGGAATAAAAAAGCGTCGTCTGTGGTCCCACCATCTAATTATAACCTCTTTTTTAGCATTGTGGGATATTTCTATCTTTTGTGTACATGTGAATGCGCGCGTGCGCGCACGCACGCACACACATGACCTGACAATTAAGCTTGCGAACTTGTAATGATGTTGCTAACCATTTGATATCAGAGGGATTATTCATTATGAATTTGTACCAACTGGACAAACAGTTAACCAAGTTGACTATTTGGAAGTGCTGAAAGGCTGCGTGGAAAAGTTAGACAACCTGAACTTTTTGCCAACAAATCATAGCTCTTGCATCACAACAATGCACCAGCTCACACGGCACCGTCTGTGAGGGAGTTTTTAGCCAGTAAATAATTGTATTGGAACACCCTCCCTACTCACCTGATCTGGCCCCCAATGACTTCTTTCTTTACACAAAGACAAAACAAAGGAAATATTGAAAGGAAGACATTTTGATGACATTCAGGACATCAAGAGTAATATGACCACAGCTCTGATGGCCATTCCAGAAAAAGAGTTCCAGAATTGCTTTGAAGGGTGGACTAGGCACTGGCGTTGGTGCATAGCTTCCCAAGGGGAGTACTTCGAAGGTGACCATAATGATATTCAGCAATGAAGTATGTAGCACTTTTTCTAGGATGAGCTTGCAGACTTAATTGTCAAACCCCATATAACAGAACCTTAATACAGTCCACCTAATTTTCAGCTTTTCAAACACACCGGACACACTGTATAAGTCTCTTGGAACTTATGGTCTGGAATAGTAATGTCAGTCTCATACCGTCAGCACCTTATTTATCATTCAAAGATTAAACTTTCCAGTAAACAACAAGATGTTAAAGTTTATGAAACCACATGGTTATTTGGGAAACATTTAGCCCTCTTCATGTGTACTCTGGTTTTCTTGAACTGTATAAATATGCTGACCAATCCCATAACAAATGACATGGAGTTAAAGAGAAATGAAAGAGTAGTAGCACACTCTGAAACCATTCTTTATGTCTGTGTAATTCAGAACTTTGCTCACACCAGAGCTATGGACTGCCAGACCGTAGCATCATGAGTAGGTAACTGTTCCTGAAATAGAATTACTTAAAACAAAACCTCTTTCCCTCTCTCCATTCCCTGCTTCCTCTCATTTCCTCTCCCTCCCTCCACCCCTTCTCTCTCCACACACATGCGCATACACACACATGCATGCATGTATATAAATATATGTAAAACAGCTTTATTGCAATATAATGCACATACCACAGTTGGCTAGTTTGAAGTATATTGAACATGTGCTACATTTTTTATTTGTCACCGCTCTAAATGTTTTACTACATTAATCTTAACCTTAAGATTGAAAAAAAGTTAAGTGAAACTAAAGGAATAACAGCTTTTGAAAATCATGTTTAATTTCAACAAGTGGGAGGAATAAAATTTTTGGGAAAAGAGTGTGTCACTTTTTTTTTTCTAAAGATTTTATTGGGGAATTGGGGGAGGGGAACAGCGCTGGGGGATCGGGGAGGGGGAACAGACAAGTTGCTGTCTTTTTGTTCTTCAGTCTAGTTATGGAGGATGTCTCTTCACTGCCCCATGTTGGTCTTGTGATCATTGTACTCTTCCCGGGTGAGCCAGATTGGTCGCCGGCCCCTGGACGGCCGCTCATGGTGGCTCTTGGCAGCTTACACAGGCTGCTGGCTGCTCACGGTAGCTTATGGCAGCTCACTGCAGCCTATGCTGTCGCCGGCTACTCATGGCAGCCCAGCTCCAGGTTGAGCTGTTGTTCACCATCTTAGCTGTAGAGGGCGCAGCGTCATTGGCCCTAATATGGGATCCGAACGGGGGCTCTGCTGCTCAGAGCTGGTGTCCCAAGCCAACTCTTAACCAACGCGCCACTCGGCCCGCCCTTCACTTTTATTGCAAGGCATTGAGGTTTAGTAGATAGAGCTGTAGCTTTGGAAAAAGACTGACTCCGTATGTTGACTCCCTTCCTTCCTTGAGGTGTGACTTCCCTGTTAAGTCTCCTGTTTCTTTATAAAATGGGGTTGAAAATTATTACCTGTCTCTCTGGATTGTCATTATACTTAATGGAAATAAAGGCTAATCCGTCTGATTCATATGGGGTGCTCAACAAACATCAGCCGCTGTTCAATTCACTGTTTCTCCAGGGAGTACAGCACAGGGGTTCAGAGCATAGGCTCTGAAGTTAACCCGTCTGCCTTCAGTTCCTGCTCTGCTACCTACTGGCTTGCGACCTCTCTGCGCCTCAGTGTCTCTAAAATGGGGTAATGATTGTATCCATCTCGGGGCTATTAAGTGGGTTAAATGAGTTAATACAACTAAGAACTTAATGAGTGTGGTCTCTTATTATTAATGTATTGATTGATTTCTCTGTGTTGATTTTTATAGGCGACAAACTATGGGAGGTGCAGTGTGAGTCCCCGACCTTCACTGTGGCTTGGCACCCCAAAAGGCCTCTGCTGGCATTTGCCTGTGATGACAAAGATGGCAAATATGACAGTAGTCGGGAAGCAGGCACTGTGAAGCTGTTTGGGCTTCCTAATGACTCCTGATGGGAGGCCCTGGCGCAGGGGGAAGGCCCTGGCCTGCCTTTGTGTATTAGTTTGGTCCGTTCTCTTGGAGTGGGTGGGCACCTAGAGTATTTGTAGATTGGTATAACTATAAAAGTCTTTCGTCGGCTGCTCATTCCAGTTCCCTTCGTGTTTGTTTTGTTGGCGGCTGCACTCTTGCCTCCAGTGTGAGCGCTTAGCAGTGTGGGTGGTGACTCCAGCATACCTTGTTCTCTGCGTCTCTGCGGACGGACCTCCTGACTTCCTGCTTTTGGGTGTAGGTGGACTTCGTTGGGCTGGCTTCTGCTTTGACAATACCTAGTTTGGAGGGGTAGGTGAAGAAGGGTGAGTCGGGGTTGGAGATTTTTTAATAAAAAAAAAACATGTAATTTTGACAATTGAGCATTTAATAAAACTGACTTTTATTATGAGACTTTTAGGACTTTGAACTTATGGTATTTTTATTTTATTATAGGGAGATGTTGCAATTTTGTATTTTTAAAAAAAATCTCAAAAAGAGTTTAAAGGTTGTAATTCTATCATTTAATGTCCTACCACAAGAACTTCGAAATGTAGGGACAAAATGGGACGTGCATGGGCAGTGGCAGTCCTTAAAAGTCCTTGAAGTCATTGGGGGGGGGGGGCACGTGGTGGAGGCAGGGAGAGGATGTGTCTGTGTCTGTGAGTGAGAGAGAGAGAGAGTGTGTGTGTGTGTGTGTGTGTGTGTGTGTGTGTGTGTACACGTACGTATGTACACGTAGTACCTGGCCTGGTTCTTCAAAAGATTTGTAGATAACAAATTTATGATAAATACCGAGAAAAGTAGTAAAATATACACGTAAATAAAATCAGGATAAGAAGTATCAATTAGAATAGAAAGTCAAGACTGGGGAAGTTAAAATGGAAACATGCAAAGAATGAGGACCCAATTGAATGACTGAACGACTTTGTCCTGGTTGGCGGCAAAATGAAGGAAGGGGGTAAGTTGTTAAAAGCACGTGCCAGCAGATCAAAGCTTTGGTCAGCTCTGACCTCCAAGAGGAGTGGCTTATGTAGCGAATTCTTACTTGAGAGCAGTGTCTTGATTTTCATTGTATTTGAATGTATTTTGGCATTAAAAAAATAGGAAGATACCTCAGTAAGTGATTTTGTAGAAAAATTTGGAAAAAGCATGTAAGCCAAAAGAAAAATCATATTTCTGGCACCAAGAGTTAACCACTATTAGCATTTTAGTGTATATCCTTCTAGGAGTTTTCCCATGCTCATATTCATACATAAAAACGTTTATAGAACTCCTGAAGGGTAGACAAAAATGACAAGATAAATCAAGCAAGGAGCCCAGCTCCATGTTGGGCAGTATTGTAAACAGCTATGTCTTAGTAGACATTTTTAGTTGTACATTCTCCATGTGTCTGGTACAGGAATGAGCACTTTACATCAGCTGCTATTCAATTTTGCAACATTCTGGGGTTGGTGTTATCAATTTTCCTGCCTTGGAGTTTAACAGTGTTACTTATTAAATGATGGTGTTCAGGTGTTCAGATTTAGATGTGTGCATTGCAATGGCTATTCTGTTTCCATTTGCCATCCCGTTTTACAGATGAGTAAACCAGGGCTCTGAGCAGCCAACTCTTGGCCTGTGTGAACGTCTGATCAATTGAGCCTGGTCTTCAGGCTCAGTATTTCCTCCAGCCCCCAGAACCGCCTTTGCCCCACCTTTTCTGAAAATGGCCTTTCTCTTTGCAATACAATAAGTGTCAGAGGTTCAGTGTTGTTCATGTCACTGGGAGTAACTTGTGGTGCATCGTTTCTTGTTTTTGCAATTATTTGCCATTCTTGTGGTTGCTGCTGTGTTTATATACCCTCCTTGTCACTGCTGCCGGATGCTCAAGGTTTTGGTATTGGATTACGTCCCTCCTCTCCCATCCATGTGAATTTTTTCTCTTGGTTTGTGGAAAGTGATTCATGCCACCTGTCGCTTAAACAAGAGATTTGTTGCTTTCACCTAATGGGAGTTGTAGCAACAGGAAGACACACCCGGGAAGAAAGCTCCAGCTTGTGGCAGCCTTCACTGACTCAGGGTCGTGCTGACATCTCTGTTTTGGCTTCGGAGTCCTGGCGGGGCTCTTTCCTGGAGAAATGCCATGATTTGTCCCAGATCTGAGACTCCTGTGGTTTCAGTGAATTTTCTAGTTCAGAGCAGGAAAGATGCCGTTCAGAGTCATGTGGCCATTTATTCGGTACTTCTCGGCATGCCGAGTAGTTACTATTCCAGACACCAAACCAGAAGTGGGTGGTGAGGGCAGCTCTGACCTGGACTGTAGTTGTCAGGGGAAGTTGGATTTGCGGTGCCAGTGACCCATTTCTGTGTTGACTGGAATTACAAGTCAGGCTAAGAAATAGTTCAGATTATGGTGTTAAAAAAAAAAAAAGATAATGGTACCTCTTGCTGAGATCCTGGATTCTCTGTGGCTTGAGATCCAGGAAAGGATGAAACCTGCCAAATGGCAAGCTTGTGTGAAGTGTCTATGCCTTGAGGGTTGTTCCCTCCACCTTACCCTGTGTTAGGATGAGGTTGTGCAGTGGGTGGTGGCGGGGGTGGGGGGTAGTTCCTGGCGGAGTGTGTTGGGAGGCTGAGGGAGGGCGTCCTGGTCAGAAGCGGACCCGAGGAGCGGGCTCTGCTGTCTGCATCGGGCGACTGTGGTGTGGCGCGCCAGAGGACGAGCCAGGAAGAGGCCCGTTCTGAGAGGCCCCAGAGCAGAGTGGTATGTGAGTGTGTATGTTATGAGCTGGTTGGGATGTGGTTGTGGGCAGGTTCAGTTTAGAATGACCAGGGATGGGGCAAATACACTCAGTCCCTGTCCTGTGCCAAAGGTGTACTCCCTAAGGATTTTCGTCACCAAGGGGACCATGCAATGTCTACCCTCTTGGGAAGGAGAAAAGCCGTAGACAGAATTCAAAGGTAAGTCATACATATGGCTGTGCATTGCACATGCAGCAGTGTCGTATATCGGTGAGGCATTGCCTTCATTCCTCCCTCGGACGCTGGTGCGGTGGGAATAAGGCTGACGGCACACCTGAGAGCTGGAGTCCCAGGCCCAGCAGGGACAGATCCTCCAGACAGTGGGGATCACGAAGCCTCGTGTCTTTCGGTTGTTAGAAGAAGCGAACGAGATCAAGTGTGTGTGGAGTGTTGAGCACAGCACTTGGCACACGGGAGATGCTTAATAAACACCTGCCTTCCCCTTGAGGAGAAGGATGGCTTTGAGGACCGAGGAGCTGGGCTGGGCATGGGCCAGTTTGTACCTGCATCGGCTGTACCCAGAGTGCGGAATCAGGGCAGCCTGGAGAAGTCTCTCCTGATGGGACATCACCGTGGAGTTCAGGTTGAAGGTGACCGTGCCTCTGATTGTTTACTGAAACATTCATGATGGGCTGCGTCTCCCAAACGGTGGCTCAAGTGCTGCATTCACAGTGGCAGGAGGCTCTCTCGCCCTCTTTGTAGGAAGGATCGTTGCTGACTGACCAAACGGCTGACCTTTCTGAGTGCTGGGCATCGTACAGGAGAGGGGAAGGGCAGACTACAGCACCGGGGACCCATTTTACAGGTGAAAACCGAGCTTCCGGGGAGTTAGGGGACTTGCTCAGGGGCAGACGGTCAGTACATTAGTTCTTTCACTGTGTTATGTCCTGCATGTGGGACCCAAATCCCAACTGTGTAGCTTCAGCCGAGTCTAGATGTGCCTTATCCATCACAGAGATATAAATAAATGTAAAGACGAGGAGTCTCAGAGGATTGTCAGCCTTCCACATTGGGGCTCGTCCGGTGCTTTCTGGCACAGCTATCACGATGCTGGTGGGCAGAAGCCAGAGAACTAAGGTTAGCTCAGTGAACTGAAGGGAGATAACACATGGAGGGCAAGAAGGTTTGTTCAACCAGCCACTCGACACCCACCCTGTGCCAGGCCTGGGCTGGGTGCTGAGGGTACAGATGTGCAGATCAGACAGTCTCCATCCCAGGGACCCACAGCCTGGCGTGGACATGATGGTAACACGGCATGATAGTGGTTTCATAACAGCAAGTCAAACCGTGTCTGTCCCTTGTGGAAAGCACTGCAGTGGCCTCACTGAACTTTCCAACATCTCATTTTCCAGGTCGTGCGCTCAGTGTTTCGGCTTTAATTTCCCCCTTCCATGCCGGCAGCCTTGCTTTGCCCTGTTGCTTGATCTCTTCTCACTGTGAATTCATTGAGAGTACTTAATCAGCAGGTACTCACAGGTTTGCTTGTTGTGCGACCATCTTCCCAGCTCAACTGCCAGTGTCGTGGGACCTTTTCCCGGTGTGTTCATTGCTTTATCCCTAGTCTCTAGCACAGTGCCCACCACTACCAAGCAGGGGCTCGATAAATATGTATTAAATGTGTGAACGGCTGGGAAAGTTTGGGCAGAATGTCAGCCAGGCTCAGTCCTTGCTTTGGAGGAGAGGGCTGTGAGGACAGCGGAGGAGGGGAGGAAGCGGGGTGGTGGTGAGCTGAGAAAGGTGAAGCCCTCACTTGACCCTCATGGTAACTCACAGAGGTAGGTGGTACAACCCCCAGCTCACAGGATGTGAGGCTCCTTTTCTTGCTCCAGTGATACAGCTCTCAGGTGGAACAGCAGGAGCTAAACCTCTGTGTGTGGCTCCCAAACCCAGGTCCTTCCCAGGAGGTAGGTTTTCTCAGCCCTGGTTATACCCTAGAACCACCCCACCCCAGCCAACCCCCCCAGGGGAGTCTAACTTCCAGCTCAGCTGAGAACCACTGCCCTATAGCCCTGCTGTTTCTCTGGTCTGTAGAACGGCGGGCGGTGGCACAGAAATGACACAGGCGTGCCCGAGAGTGTGGACGGAGGCTTCCTGAAGGACGCATTCCGGTCCGTCCTGGAAGGGTAAACAGGAGTCAGCCAGGCAACCCTTGGAGGAGGCTGGAGGCAGAGGGCTGGTCTAGGCAAAGGCTTGGGGACACGGACCAGCCTGGCCTGGTGCGGTGGGCTTCCCTTCAACAGTCCTTGCGTCCAGGAGAGTGTCCAGCTAAGCTTTAGGCTTCTGCTGCCTGGCGGTCATTCTGTAACCCACCTCTCCTCCGGGCATGGTTACCTGAGGATGTTCTGAGGGCTTTGGCCTCTCTTAAGTTCCTGTCCCACTATTATTAGTGTCACAGAGAAGGAGGTCAAGACTGGGATTTGCCAGAAGGCTTCTTGGGTGGAGGCAGCTGGGCCTGGGCCTGGTGGCTCCATTAAATAAAGACCAGGACCTATACAGGAAGCCTATGCCTGTTCAGACGTCAGAGCCGGCAGGCGCGGGGCCCCGGCCCGGCTCCCTACCCAGTTTGGCCCCGTCTGGCTTGGAAGCGCGTGGACTGCGGTGTCAGATGGTCCTGGGATCTTTTTTTTTTTTTTGAAGAT